GGGTCCACTGGTGGAACCTCTTCTAACCGGTTCAGTAGATTTGACGAACCGGTTCTACCGAATAGGTGCGAACTGGTAGGAACCCACCTCTGATCATATGGCTGGAAGGGACCTTGGAGGTCTTCTAATCCAACCTTCTGCCCAAGACAGGAGACCGCATTGCATCTAGGACAAATAGCTGTCCAATCTTTTGCCTTTGTTTCCTTTCTATCTATCAAAGGAAGTTCAAGGCTGCAGGAACCTCAGTGACAAAAAAAAAATGGGGGGCCAAAAGTTTGCTATGTCTTTTTTTGCCGTTTCTTCTTTATTTTTATCCTGCTTTTATTATTTTCACAAATAAGCCATGGTGGTGAGCATATCCAATGTATCTTTCTCCTTTTTTCCCCACAGCAACAACCCTGTGAGGTGGGTTGGGGTTTAAGAGAGACAGTGATTGGCCCAAGGTTACCCACCTGGCTTTCATGGCTAAAACAGGACTTGAACTCATGGCCTCCCATTTTCTAGTCTGGTGTCTTGACCACTAGAAAAAAACTGTCTCTTTTTCTTCTATCTAATGCTTGCTCTGATTATTCTGGTAACCCTAGGGGAGCTCACCATTACTCTCCTAGCCCCCAAATTAGGGACTTTCTGAGCAAGGACTCCACATTTTTTAAATAGTAACTTTTAACCCAATTAGTGTGTCCACATGCTGTCAAAGCAACTGGTAAGCAAATCTTAATTGATTTAGTAGGTTAAGAATGTTTGGGAATGGAAGCGTTCTGTCGTTTAAAAAAAAAGAACAGAGATTTTAGAATTGTTGTAATAACCCCATTTGCCTGTCTACTCCCATTAACTGAAAAGAGCCGGTGGGGAGGAGGATGGCTGGCTGCGCGCAGACCGCCTAGCCGGAATATCGCAGGGAAAATGATTGCTTAGACAAACCAGCAACCCGGCGAAGCTGCGGCAGGGAGGCAACGGCTGGAAGGAGAAGGGAGCTGAGCAAGGGCATCGCTGGCTTGGCAGCGTGCACCGAATTCCGTGCAGGGCTTTCTCCCGCCTCAGCTTTTTCGGGAAACGCCAGGCGGGGTCTTCTTTGGCCGACGCGGCCTCAGCTCCCCGTGTGACTTCGCCTGCTGCTCCGGCAGCGGCAGCGGCCAGCAACAAGAGGAAACAGGACAACAAGGCCAGCACTTTCGGCTTCAACTGCACGCTGCTGCTGGGCCCCACCGGGGAAAGCGGCGGGCCAGTTTTAGGGAACGGGCCTTCAGGGAGGCCTCCAGGCATGCCAGAGGAACCGGAGGAGCCGGCCTACACCAGCATGCTGTGGAAGAAGATGAACTACAGCCCCGACGTGGTGGGCTACATTCTAGTGAAGGAGCTGAAGGAGCAGCTGCAGACCCTCTAAGACAGCGAGCGTGGGCACATCGGCGAGGCCTCTGAGCGGCTGCATCGGCTGCTCCGTGAACACCAGAAGGCCATGCTAGAGGAGCTGGAGGCCGACACGGCCCGGACACTGACTGACATCGAACAGAAGATCCAGCGTTACAGCCTGCAGCTGCATAAAGTGCAGGAAGGTAGCCAGATCCTGCAGAAAAGACTGGCGGAAACCGACAGGCACAACTTCCTGGCGGGCATCGCCTCTCTCTCGGAGAGGCCAAAGGGGAAGATCCACGAAACGAGTCTCGCCTATGAGGATTTCCCCACATTGAAATACATGGGGCCTCAGCAGTACACCATCTGGAAATCCCTCTTCCAGGTCATCCAGCCAGTGGCTGCCACGCTGCCCCTGGACCCGGCCACCGCTCACCAGCGCCTCTGTCTGAGTGCTCCCCCCCCCTTTCCCTTCCGGGACATTTATTTTTTTACCGTTTTAATTATTTTAACTGCCTGTCTATTCAGGAACGGCATTTGCTGGGCATATGAGTGTATGAATGTGAGAGAAAATGTGCCCACTTTTAATTTATTCTATTGTATTTTAGTAATTACTGTGGGGTGTGTCTGAAGAGAGTGTTTGATTGNAGAGAGATACGGGGTGTGTGTATGGGGGGAAACGTAGTAGGGATGCACCTGTAATCAAATGACATATTTAATGGGATGATGGGGTTTTTTTTCCTTTTTTTTGTGTGTGTGGGTTTTTTTTTTTTCCCCTGCCTTTCTTTTTATGTTGCCTATGTAATAAAAATAAAATAAAATTTAAAAAAAATGCTGTTGTATCTATGCTGGTCTGTTTCTTGCCTACTGAAGCCCACTACACCATAGTGGCGACGAAGGTGGGATGCTGCAGAGGAGAGAGCTGCTGCTAACCAACAGACTGAACTCACTGGGTGATAGGCTAGGTAACGAGCCCCGGCAGGACTAGTCCTCACCCCCGCCTACCGGTAAGCCACACTGGAGGAACGCTGAAATCACTGGATGTCAGACCAGTTAAAGATCCCTGGTGGGATCACGCTCCCCACCCTGCCTGCCAATAAGACACAATGGTGGCACAGACGTACTTGAGGGATCTGTCCGCAGGACTCCTAAGTGCAACCCAGCTCCAACCGCAGCAGTACAGGCATTAACCAGCACCACAGGGGCCTTCTCAAAATGGCTAAACTGGGAAGACTCAACAAGTTTGATATTACTCACCCGGGAAACAGTGGAGCTCATGTCTCCCAAGTAAACAACTATCTCCAGGCTAACCAGGTCAGTAACCCTACTATGTGTCTGCAGACAAGCCATGTTTGATATCACTGAAAATTTGATAGCACAGGCAAGCATAGAGACAGTGGCATACGCAGACCTCAAGAAGAAATTAAGGGAACATTTTGAGCCTAAACTCTCAACCATCGCCTGGCACCGTGCATTCAAGCAATGTGAACAGAGATCCGGGGAATCTGCAGCAGAGTTTGTAGCAGCCCTTCTCCAAGCTTCGTGCCAATGCGAGTTCCCTGATCTGGAATACCATCTCAAAGACAGCCTCATTTGCAGCCTGTGTAATAGTGAATTACAGCAGCACCTATTCACCATGAAGAAACTGACTTTCCAAGATGCATTGAAGGAAGTCATGGCGAATGAGGCTGCCAGAGGGGCCATGAAGACTCTCCAGCCACCAAAAACACACACCTGCTCCCCAGCAATCCACCAAGTGACTGCAAAAGGCTCAGGGGAGGGAGAGCGAAGAAATTGATCACTTACGGGGAAAGCCACCCAGACGGCCATCCTCCACAGAGCAAGCAACTCCCCCAAAGAGCTGCGCAAGCTGTGGGGGAAAGCATGAAAGAGCAGAGTTCAGATTCCACACAGCAATATGCCGTGCCTGTGGAAAGCAAGGGTACATTGCCAGAGTTTGCAGAGGTCATCAGGGGAAAACGTCCTCACTTCAGAACAGAGTTGAATACTGCTCAGGAAGGCATAGCATCCAACACACAGGGGCCCAATGTCCCATCAAAGAGAAGATAAGACTCCAACTAAAACTTCAAGGGGTCCCATGCTCCATGGAGCTAGATACTGGATCAGCCCTGTCTATTATCTCCGCCATGACTTTTGACCACATTTGTAAACATGGCTGACGGCGGGTCCCGCTCAAATCATTGAGCTTAGTGCTAACGGACTTCCAGAATCGCCATGTTCCTGTAAGGGGTGAAGCTACCATTAGAGTACAATTCAGAGTTCGAAGGTCTACTCAGCATAGTGGTTGTAGAGGGGCTGTGCACGAGCCTCATAGGACTGGACTGGTTCGAGGCCCTGGGCATCAGGGTAATGGGCATCCATCAAACCCAAATAGCCAATCTAGATGTCAAGGGGGGGATGCCTGTCAGCTTTGGAAGCCATATTAACATTGGATGCTTCCACGCTGCCACATTCTTGTGCCTGGGAAAGTAGGAGGGGGGATTTAGTAGAGGGAATGTAGTTAGAGAAAAATAGCATTCCTCTTTTCGGTCAAGGTCATGATATTCCTGCACCTGGAGGAGTGGTTGGAGTGATGTCTCGAGTTGTAACGGATTAGGATTAGACGAGGTGATGGATTGATTGGTGCATGGGATGGGTTTGGACTTTTGACTTACTGAGGGAAAGTCCAAAAAACTCAGATTCGGGTTTTCCCAGATGTGCCTGTATACCTACTCTAATAAATGGGAGCTTTGAGAAAATGCCTGTCCCAGAGTTTCATTGGAGTTGGGGTTTTCAGGAACGCTGACATTAGAAGCAGTATGCCAACAATACGCTGACATATTCAGCACTGAACTGGGACAATACAAAGGGGCACCTATTTCACTCAACCTTAATTCAGCAGTAACTCCAATCCGATTAAAACCGCACAGGGTTCCCTTTGCATTGAAGCCTAAAATTGATACGGAACTAGACAAGCTGGTACAGCAGGGAGTGATCCAACACATGGACTGTAGCCAGTGGGAGACTCCCATAGTAACCCCAGTTAAGCCTAACAGGGCCGTTCACATCTGCGCAGACTACAAGTGCACCATAAACAAGGCACTACAGCGGCATGCTTACCCTGTACCAGTAGTAAGCCACATCGTCGCCTTGCTCCAGGGAGGCTGAATCTTTGCTAAGCTAGACCTCGCCCAGGCCTACCAGCAGCTATCAGTATGCGATACTACCACAGAAGTACAGACAATAGTCACACACAGAGGTGCATTCCGAGTGCGCCGCCTGCAGTTTGGGGTAAGCATAGCACCAGGATTGTTCCAAAGTATTATGGAATGAACTCTGAAGAACATTCCTGGCATCTGCCCCTACTTTGATGACATCCTGATCGTAGGGGAATCAGCAGCAGTCCTGGCGGAACATCTCCGCGCAGTACTCTAACGTTTTCTCAAGGCAGGCCTAAAGCTCAAGAGGGAAAAGTGCCAAATCGGCATGGAATCCACAGAATTCCTGGGTTTCCACATTGATGCTGCCAGAATTCACCCATCTGAAGCAAAGCTAAAGGCAATTTAGCAAGCCCCCACACCAAAATCCGAGGGGGAGCTCCAAGCATTCCTGGGCTTGCTCAATTTTTACCACTCCTTACCGCATAAGTCTGCCATGGCAGAACCGCTACACCACCTACTGGACAAACAAGCACCCTGGGTCTGGTTGAGCACTCAAGACAAAGTGTTCAAGGCGGTAAAATTGTTGCTATCCTCGGACTCCATCCTAGCTCATTTCAACAAAACCCTACCAGTAACACTAGCGTATGACACTTCACCATATGGCAATGGGGCAGTACTAAGCCACAGGATGCCAGATGGTAGACAGGCCCCCATCGCATACTGTACTAGAATGTTATCACCGGCTGAAAGGAACTATGCCCAGATTCGTAGACAAGGAAGCCTTGCCATAATGGCTGTCAAACCTGTCCCAGACCAGACCAGGGAGAAAGCAAACAAATGCACAGGAGACACAGTAGTTGGAGAATCCAGGCTTTGCTTCTCTTTCAATGGTCAAGCATCAAGTTGAGCTTAATACACAAAAACTCTGAATCTGATCGATCACTATTAAGAGCCTTTATCAGGACTTACCTAGTGGTGATACGGGCGGCAAAATGTACGCATTTTTCCGCTCTTATTGCATCCACGGAATCTCGCCCAGCCGCCCTGTTTAGGGTGACCCGCTCCCTCCTGAAAGGTGAGGTGGCAGGGGAACCCCTGCAGGGAAGAGCTGAGGAATTTGTTCAGTATTTAACGGATAAAGTCG